GGTGGAACATTCAAAATATTTTTAAGAAAAAGATAAAGTTTAAACCACAGATATTTTTGTTGGGTATTTTGGAAGATTTGGATGCAAAAGAAATGGAGTTGATGTTGAATCTTATAACTGCTGCAAGATTATTAATTGCTCAATTTTGGAAAATGAAATGTTTACCTACTATAGAAGATTGGGTATTTAAAGTCTCAAACTTAGCAGAAATGGCCAAGATTTCCGCTTATGTGAAGGATTACTCACAAGAAAGATATATATTGGTTTGGAGAAGATGGATTGATTATATTGAGTTTAAATATGGAACAAAAAAATATCATTTGGTTTTTGAATGAATTTCTGAGTATTTTTGTTTAAAAGTTATAATGTTATTTAGTTTTATTTTTAATATTTAAAATTATGTTAATATTATGGTATTTAATAATTGTATATTTGTTTTAAAAGAGAGTTAAAGGAAGTTATACATTTGTTAGATTAATAGTTGATTAATGTTAGTTAGATTATGATTATTTTATTGTTAATCCTGTGATTGGCTCTGGGAAGTAAGGGAGGGGAGGGATGGAGGGTTGGGTTTGGGGGAGTGGGGGATTTACCGGTATATTGTAAAATTTTATAAAATTTTCAATTAAAAAAAAAAAGACTGGATTTACCCATTTTGTTTCTTATTTCAGTAAAAAGAAAAAAAAGAGAGCCTCAAACGCCTGCCAAATTTTGAAGTTTGCTATTCAGTTTCAAGATGCACGGCTTCAGTTGGCCAGTCTTGCTGCAGGCAATGTGGGGTTAGATTTGATTGGAGGGAAATTCCAGAATAAGACCATTGCTAGCTTACCAAACCAAAGAAGACAGATCTACTCCTGTTGTGCAATAGGGGAACTTAAGTTAGCAGAATCGTTTTCAAGCATGACTCCTGCTCTTGGAAATATGAAGGTCAAAATTTCTTTAGATAGGCCAGGAAGTTCGTTTTACTGGTTTTACAATGAAGGCAAGACGATTTCAGTTGACTTTAGGCATGTCCACAAATCTAGATAGTAAGCTGCTTTCTTGTCCTGTAGCTTTTTTTTGAATTGGGCTCTTTTCTCTCTTTTTATCTTTCCTCTTTTCTCTCCTTTTTCTTTCCTTTCCTTTCCTTTCCCTTTCCCTGTCCCTTTTCCTTTTCCTTCTTTATCTAAAGCAGGGCTTTTCAACCTTTTCACCCATTGTACCACTTTTAGGATATGGCAGCATCCGAGTACCACCAGTCACCTAGCAAGGTGTCAAAAACTTGATGACCAAAAAAAAAAAAAAGAGAGAGAGAAAAAGTGATAAAGTACAGGTAGTCCTCGACTTACAACAGTTCGCTTAGTGACTGTTTGAAGATACAATGGCACTGAAAAAAGTGCCCCCCAAGCCACCGCCGAGCAAGACACCTGCCTGCCCACCCGGTGGCGCTCTTCCTCCTGTCCGAGGTTTTCATTGTTGTGAGCATTTCTGTTGAGGATTGGCAGCGGGGGTGGGGTGGGGGGTGTTTGGTTTTTATTCCCCCCGTCTGCTGGGTGATTGCAGCAGGTTTTGGTCACTTCACATGACCCTGGGACACTGTGACCGTCATAAATATGAATCAGTTGCCAAGCATCTGAATGTAAATCACAAGACCCTGGAGATGCTGCAACATTCCAGCTGATCGGCACTTCTTCTGGGCTCAGCAGAAGCACCAGGATCAGCGCCGAGCTCCAGGTGGTGCTTGATGCTGATCCTGGCGCTTCCGCTGAGCCCTGACAGCCCCGAAGAAGCGCCAGGATCAGCTGGAAAGCGGCACTGATCCTGAAGCTTCTGCTGAGCCCTAACAGCCCTGCAGCTCCAGCCATCTCTCGCTCAGGCTTGTGCAGTGCTGCCACTGGTTCAGCTCATTCTTCTCCCCCGCTACCACTTTTCTAGGATGGTTGCGTACCACCTGCCAGGTACCAATGTACCACAGGTGGTACCCGTACCACTGGTTGAAAAGCCCGCATTTGAACACTACTTGTCATTCAGCAAAAATGTTGCAAAACCATAGTAAAAAATACAAATCCAATCAATCCGATGAGAACAATAAATCAGTGTATTCCCTTCATTCTCTTGAGAAAACCCAGTCTTCTTGGCTCTGTTTTTTATGTTATCCATATGCAGCAAAGAGCTTGATCTTTTGTCATTTTTTGCTTAGAATGATTGTGGACTCTTAATTCTCTTCTTATCATGAATTGTGGTATATAATGCTAATCTCTTTCAATTGCTCCTTCCAGGATTGTAACTATAACTGCGAAAGAAGCGTCTAATAACCTGAAAGGTAATCTCAGGGACAGACAGCAGTAATTGAGTAAGTTACTCAGTAACTGTTGAGATGGAACCTCAGAAGAAAACCGTGGATGAGGAATTGAAAGAGTTATTCCATGCATTTAAAGGTGAATAGCAACTTTAGGATTGCAATCTAAAACATTCTTTGGCTGTGCATACCCACCCAAAGTAACGTTTTACTTGTATAATCTTGCCCCTTTGAACAATTTAACGATGTAATGTGTCAAAGAATTGTTACCTCTCTAAATCTGAGTAGAGCTCTTGACTTGTTTTATCCAGTACCCTTTATCGTTATGTGGATAAACATTAATATCAGTCACAGAAACGGTAAACGTTGGAAGTAAACTCGGTACTTATACTTTAAATGTTTGCAAGATGGTGCATAATAATAACAACCATCGGAATTGACACAATCACCTTCGGTCAATTGCAAAAGGCAGCTTTCCTTGGAACAGGTTACCTCCTGCAACAATACCTTTAACCCCATCACACAATAACACCTGCCTATCCCAGGTCCTTGGGAGGGGCTTAACAGATTGATAAAAATGCCAAGCATCTAGTGGACTATGTGATTAACCACAATAATAATGGTCCTTGGAAAAGGACTCGAAAGGTGAACAACAATGCCAAATCCAGTCTAAACATCTGGTTGACTTTGTGACCAACCATAATTTATTAAAATGTGCATGCTGTTGAATCCCACCGACTGGGTGACTCACAACAATCCAGCCTGTTGTGTTCAATTCAATAGAACATAAGAAATAAAGATAAAAGATGGCAAGCATGATGACGTGCGGGGTCTCTCTCTTCTCATCAAAGGCCTGGTTGAAGAACAGGGTTCCCTGGCTCCTTTATATAACAGCAGAGTGAGGAAAGTCCAGAAGTGGGAAGGGGAAACCTTATTAAATTATATACAGGTAGTCCTTGACCTACGACCACAACTGAGCCCAAAATTTATGTTGCTAAGCGAGACAGTTTTTAAGTGAGTTTTGCCCCATTTTATGACTCTTCTTGCCACAATTGTTAAGGGAATCATCAAAGTTGCTAAGTTAGTAACCCAGTTGTTAAGTTGCTTGTCGGAAGGCCATAAAAAAGGATCACATGACCCCGGGACACTGTGACCGTCATAAGTACATACCAGTTGCCAAGTGTCTAAAATTTAGCTCACGTGACCACGGCGGATACTGCAATGGTCATAAGTGTGAAAAGCAGTGATAAGTTCCTTTTTTTCTGCGTCATTGTAACTTCAAACAGTCACTAAACCAACTGTTGTATGTCAAGGACTATCTGTAATTTTCTTCTACTGACACCTGCTTCCTATGCTAATATCTTACATGTTTTCATCATTTTAAATCTCTTTACTCACTCATAGTCATGTCTTCCAGATAAAGAAGCTTTGAATAAACCCTGGGACTTCCGAACGTGGGACATCGAACAGAAATATTTTTTCTTTGAGAAAAATCAACTGATAGCAGCCCCGCTGGATTTTAGATCATCAGGTATTAGGGAACAACATTAGTGCTTTAGTAATTCTGAAATTTAGTAATTCTCAATTTTTTCTTTATGCTATTGGGCAAAAGAGATCACAGCAGTAAATTCTGGCTGTCCCAAAGGTGTCTTTTTCCAATAGGCAATTGGACTTCCTTAGTTTTTTTTTTTCTTTGAAAGCATTTTTGCTTCTCACCCAAGAAGCTTCTTCGGTTCAGTTTCAAAGAAAAATAATAATAAGTCCAATTACCTTTTGGAAAAGCCCTTTTGGGACCACCATGACTGGGATAATTGGGAACATCTGTAGATATTCAATTCTGGAGTTGCATAACCAAGGACTGATGACTGGCTCTTGTTATGGAGAACCATGGAGCTGGTGATTCTTTCAGTTGCTTCTGCACCACATTCTTGTCTTGGAAGGAGATTTGCCCAGTTTTGTCATCTAGATATTTCTGCTTGTTCTTCTCCTGATATTTCCATATAAAGTTACATGTGGCTTTAGAAGTTGCTTGGGTGCATGCATTCCCCAATCAAGGAGAAAAAAAAAGGAAAATGGAAGTGTTGGATGCCTTGACACATAAAAAAGCCAAATAATTGTAAGTCAGCTTGAAATTCTGATAAGGGTTGCGAAGAATCCTGGTGGTGCAGTAGTTAAAATGTAGTTCTACAGGCAAATTCAGCCTACAGCCTGGAGTTTGATCCTGATGGGGCTCAAGGCTGACTCAGCCTTCCATCCTTCCGAGGTCGGTAAAATGAGGACCCAGAGTGTTGAGAGCAATATGCAGATAATGCTTCTATCTTGTACACTACCTAGAGAGAGCTGTAAAGTATTCTCTATAAGCCTAAATGCTAAAAAACCAAAGTCCAAAATAATATTACTGGCATATATTGCAAGAAACTCTGAGTCCAGAACTATAGAGAGCAATTAAAATACAGGCAAGTTATTCCAACCCTGGAGACTGGATGAGATTTTAAAATCTAATCCAAAGAGTCATGCTGGAAATCTCACGGTGCAAAAAACAACAACAACCCAACAACCTGTTGCTTGACTGTTTAGGGAAGTAGGAATTAGACCAAATGACTGGTGCATTGAAAAATGTTACTTTATCTCCCTGGTCACTATAATCTAAGACCCACATCTCTTTGGGGAGAGGAATTAGATAGTTCAGATGGATGATCCAAGGAGAAAGATCCCCAGTGCAGAAGGATCAATGCTTCTTCTGATCAATAAAGATCTTGTTATTTACATGCCGTTAGTACAGGTAGTCCTTGGCCGACAACAGTTCATTTAGTGACCGTTCAAATTTACAACGGCACTGAAAAAGGGACTTATAGCCATTTTTCATACACTGTTGCAGCAACCCCCATGATTACATGATTTATATTTGGATATTTGATAACTGACTCACATTTATGACGGTCGCAGTGTCCCAGGGTCACCTTTTGTGACCGTCTGACAAGCAAAGTCAATGGGGAAGCCAGATTCACTTAACAACCGTGTTACTAATTTAACAACTGCAGTGATTCAATTAACAAATGTGGCCAGAAAAGCCGTAAAATGGGGCAAAATTCACTTACTAAATTTCTCACTTAGCAACATAAAATTTTGGGCTCAGTTGTGGTCGTAAGTCAAGGACTACATGTAATATAGATGTAGTAATGGGTGCAAGCTGCAAGCTACCATATGATTTGAAAATTAATCAGTGTGGACATAGAATAACTCAGGACCTAATGAATACCTTAACTGATATTTGCTTTATGGTTTATTTCAATAGCTTTAAAAAAACGTTATTGACATCTTTCCACCAACAACTTCTCATTCAAAACTCTACTTCCAAATAAAGATGCTTTTCTCTGTTTTTGTTGACTTATCTATATTGTTATTGTTCTGCAGTACAGTTGATGGCTGTGGTCCCCAACAACAACTTAGAGATCAGAAAACGACCCATCTTTTTGGGACTCACTGATAAACGCCTGGTCTTGGCCGGTCAGTTGTCAGTTAATGATGAACCTCAACTAGTGATATTGGTGAGTTTCATATTTTAAGTCCTGAAGAAAGAGGGAAGTCACAAAGAAGAGGGGAGTCAATCTATTCTCCAAAGCACTTGAAGGTAGGACAAGAAGCAATGGATGGAAACTAACCAAGGAGACAAGCAACCTAGAACTAGGGAGAAATTTCCTGACAGCCAGAACAATTAATCAATGGAACGATTTGCCTCCAGAAATTGTGGATTCTCCAACACTGGAAATTTTTAAGAAGAGTTTGGACAACCATTTGTCTGAAATGGTATAGGGTTTCCTGCCTGAGCAGGGGGTTGGACTAGATGACCTTCAAGGTCCTTTCCATCTCTCTTATTCTTTTATTCTGAATTGCCTACTTATTCTATTATAATTAATGTATCGTATCTATACACTGCATTAAAAACTACTACAGTATATGGTGCACTCATAAACCCCTTTCTCTGGAAGAATAAGCCTGTTTCAATCAAATCAATGCCTCCCCCCCCACTTGTTTATTGGGATATATTTACCACAATAAAATGCAGTTGTAGCTTTAGCTGTCTGATGAAAAAATGGTTTATGGTGAAGATAATAGCAATAGCACTTATATTTATATACCGCTTCACAGTGCGTTACAGTCCTCTCTAAGCAGTTTACAGAGTCAGCCTCTTGCCCCCAGCAATCTGAATCCTCATTTTACCGACCTTGGAAGGATGAAAGGCTGAGTCAACCTTGAGCTGTTGAGAATTGAGCTACTGGCAGTCGGCAGAATTAGCCTGCAATACTGTATTCTAACCACCGCGCTACCATGGCTCTTATAATATCTTTTTAATGAAGTGTTTCTGATTTGTTCAGCTTCTGTTATTGCTAGTTTACCTTGGCAAGGTGATTAGCAATGAATTCCTTCTTAACATCAGAAAGAAATAATATGGAAACAGTACGATATAGCTTGTTGTTAACTGCTTTAGCTAATCCTACTTGGGAGGCTAAAATTGGAGAATAAGCTACAATGGGAAATTTTCAGAATAGAATTTTAACTGAATTGAAGTAAGAATGGTTCCTGTTTATACATTATATCACACAGCAAGGCAGAATTAGGCATCTGGAATGTGTTCTTTTAGGACTCAAATAGAAATGAATAACAATTACTAAAGTTTGATACCAAGTTCAAATATGTAAACTGTGCCCAGCAGTTGTAATACAAATGGAATTGTATTCATCGCCTTATTGATGAGATGGGTGGTATATTAAATTAAACAAACAGAGAAGTAGACTGACTATGGCAAAAGAAAACAAAGGTAGTACCAATAATCATAGGTGCCTTGGGTGCAATCCCAAAACATCTGGAGTGCCACTAGAACACCATCGGCATAGACAAATTCGCCAACAATCAATTGCACAAGACAGCTTTACTTGGAAAAGCTTACATCCTGCCATGATATCTTTGACACCAATAAAGAACAATATCTGCCTATCCCAGGTCCTTAGGAAAGACTTGATAGATGAACAAAAATGACAAGTCCAGTGTAAACATATGGCTGACTGTGTGATCGATCGTAATAATAACAACGATAGTGGGCAGGATATATATCACTTAAAATTTCCATGTTCTTTTTTTGCAATGCTTCTTTTAAACTGAAATATACAGTAGCTGTCTTTTGTTGGTTTGTTTCATCATGCTTTAAAAAAATTCTTTGCAGTTCAATATTTTTAACCATTAATGTATGGATTAAAACAGAAGTAGCTAATCCTGCAGCTCTCCTAACCAAGCCTTGTATTTTTTTTTTTTTTTTTAGGAAGACGACATCATGGATCTTTATAGAAGCACTAACGAATCAAAGAATTATTCTTTCTACGTGGTCACTAAATGCAGTAGAATGACTTGCTGCTTTGAATCTGTAGCTTTCCCTGGTTGGTTTTTATGTACCTCAGTTCAACCAAACATGCCTCTTGGTCTTTGTAAAGCAGGAGATCCTAAGATCATTTTGTTCCATTTCCTAAACGTTTCTTCCACTCCAAAGCTTTTGCAATGATAAAGTAAGTAATAGTAATGTTTTGATTAAAAATGGAATATCGAATTGCGAGTAAATTCTGAATTGCCTCTTAGTATTGTTTTATTTTTGGCCTCCAAGGACTATGGAAGACGTAACATGGCAATGCTGATGGAAGAGGTGGAGCCAAAGCTGATTCCTTGTCTGTAACACAACCTGGATGCATTTAGTTTTGATTCAGTAAGAACAGAAATGAAAATAAAAACCTGAAATAAAAACCAGTTTCGGCGTTTTGTTGTCAAGTTTCAACAATGTCACTAGGGGCGAGGACCTATCCTTAGATCTTCTCTTAGATTCAGGTAAAATACATGTAAGAAGCAGAAGGCTGCATATAGGCTGTTCTTCCCATACTTAATTGGCGTCTAGTAGGAAAGAAATATTTTGAGCAAAACGATAAGGTACAGAGTACCCTTGTCACGGAAAAGTGCCCGACTGATATTTTTCTTTCTTGGAGAAGAAGAAAATGGAGAAACCCTTCAATTTTATAAATTGTCTCTCTCTAAGCTAATTCTTTTCATACAATAAGCTTACAGCAAACTTGCTACCAACCAAGTGATATTACGACTAGAGATAGTTCCCGGGAAAGAGGGCTGATCCATTTTCTCTCTCAAACATTTTTGTCATGCACAGAGAGATATAAGGCAGACTTTGCTGTCTATATCAGAAACCACACAATTTGTGAAATCTGACCATTGCAAGACCCGTTCTTCCACAACTAGGAGTCTGCATACTTTAAATGCATGCATGGACACAAACACACAGTTGTTTTTGCTTGAAGTGCTTCTAAGGACAATTCTTCTCCAAAATGATAAGAGGAAATACACTTAAATATTCTTTAATGCTTTCAGATGAGGAAATTCTTGCAAAACAAATATTTTGCATTGTCTAATTCATTCTTTAAAGAAGAAAAAGCTTAACACCCAACTGTGGGATCATTTCCCATTTTCCACTCACCTATCGAAGGCACACCCACCAGTGTCACTGAGTGACTATAAATGGTGCAAAATCTCGGAGGTGGGCACAGAGAAAGATCCTTCAGCCAAAGAAAAATTGTTACACCAGGACAGGTACAAACTTCTTAATTATACTTTTGGACATTCTTTCCATGTCTATGTCCAGGGCTAAGTAATTCCATAGTGCTAACTTCTTTCCTGGCCAATTTTGCCATCTATTATTGTGATCATCTGAGGATCAGAATAGAATATGAATTTGTTGGGTTTTTTTGAGCTTTTAATAACTGGGTTCATGTGGCTTTTATGAGTTCCTTTTTTTAAAAAAAATAAAATCTGCACCCTGCTGCTTGATTTTAGTCAGTTTGATCTTGAGGTGCTAATAATTGAATTTACTATTAAACCTCTCTGTGTGTATGCCTCTCTCTCAGTTGGTGTCCTTTGCAGAGGAGACTAATCAATTTATGAAGTAGATTGTGACAAAACTCTAATAAATTTAGTTTATTTACGTATCAATACTATAAGATACAAAAATATATTAAAAAATAAAGATGGGGAGGGAAAAGGGAAAGGAAAAGTGAGGGGAAAGGGGGAAAAAGAGAGAAAAGGCATTGACATCTGATTCCCTTTGGTGCAGTAGAATAAGATAAGATAAGATAAGAGAAGAGAAGAGAAGAGAACAGAAGAGAAGGTAAGATAAGATAAGATAAGATAAGATAAGATAAGATAAGATAAGATAAGATAAGATAAGATAAGAGAAGAGAAGAGAAGAGAAGAGAAGAGAAGATAAGATAACCTTTATTGTCATTTTTATACTGTGGGCACAATGGCACACATCAAAAATGAAAATTAGTTGCACGCTCTCAAAGTGAAACACATATTCCAAAAGTTGAGACTACGGCAGAAGGACGATTACTCATTTTTCTGTTTGTTTGTGTTTTCTAGAGATATTTCCAACTTAATAATGTAAAGTATATTTATCATTAAATACTTACGGAATTTTGATCCATAAACCAAGAACTAAGAGAATGGATTTATGAAATCTATATGTCATCATAAGATTAAGGTAGTTGATGTAATGATGTTGGGCTCTAAGAATTAGCTTTTTACTTTTACATAATAATATAAACTAGCCATTTTTTATAACAACAAACTTATCTAATCAGTAAAACCCAAAATCAAAGTTTCATTTGATTTTGTGCTTCACTTTAAGCACAAAGTCCAGAAGCAGCTTCCAAGTAGAAACCAAAGTAATTGTGGTTTTTTTCTCTTTAATCCAAGCAGTCCGTTTAGCCATCTCTGCTAACTCCATCAATTTCTGCAGCGGTTCATCCATTGTGAGAATCGAAGTGTCCTTCCATTTTTGTGCATAAAGCAGTCTTGCTGCCGTCAATATATAGAGCATCAAAGTTCCACATTTTTTCCCCAAATCTTTTTCCATTAAACCCAAAAGAAAAATAGATTGTAACAAAACTCAAGACTATGTTTTACTGCCACTTTCATTAGAAAATAGATATATAAATCTTGAATGGGTGATGGCAGGATTTGGGGGAAGTGGATTAAGCCCTATTATACAATATAAATTCTTACAGTCTCCCAAATGATATGGAAATGAAATGGAAATTTGTACACATCTCCCAAATGGGAGGAGGAGGAGGAGGAAGAGGAGGAGGAGAAGGAGAAGACCTTGATTGTATCAAGACTTAAAGAGTTAAATATTTTCTCTCCCTCTGAACAAAATTGGAATGCAATCTCAGATGCTTTATCTTTTCAAGAATTGAGTAATGCATCTTTGCTCTACTTTTTTACAATTTGCTTTATTAGCTGGTTTCTGGTCTTCAGTTCCTTTTCAGAATAAGCCTATCTTGATATAAGATATTCTGCTTTCTCTTCAGATAATAAAAAAAACTGTGCATCTCTCTGTGCTGCTGAACTTTTACCTTCCTTTGAAGCAGGAAAACTTCTGGAACAACATTAAAAGCCTTTCAAGAGATTTAACATGGTTTAAAAATAAATAAATTCCAAAATTTCTTCCTGCCCTACCCTCCACCTGTAAAAAGTCCCAGCCTTTTGGTTGGAGAGTCCCACCCTACTTATCCATGGTGTGTGATGCTAACCCAAACATTCTGTATTGCTGCTTCAGCTAACAGTGGCTCTTGAATCCATCTTTAAAGTCTTCTTTATTTTAGAGCATAAGAGAGATAGATACTGATATAAGTAATTTCAGTGTGTGAGAAGTATGGATTATGACATCCGAATTCTTCCCCACCAAGCCCTCCTAACAAGTGAATCAAATAGGTTAATTAAACTAAAGAAAGTTCTTTGCCACCAAAAGCCAGCAAAAGTGGGGAAAATATACTTGTTATATTTTTCACAGTCAATAAAATAATAGATTTCATCAAGAAGGGAATTCTTACTCTAATCGTTATGAAGAAACATGAGATGAGATGGGGACGAATCTGTGGAGATTATAGAGTAATCTATAATAGATAATAGAAGATTTAGAAGTACTATAATATGAATGATAAGGATAGAAAAGATCTGAGTTTAAGAGATTCAAGAAGAATAGATTTGATGTGAAGGGGACCTAAGGCTTTCATGACACGTGGCAGCAGAGATTTCATGGGCGTGTGGGAAAATTATGATACACAAATGTCAAAGTTTATTTAGTGCCTGGAAGCACCAACATTTCTCTTTCTAGCAGAAGAAATCTCTTTCTATTTGGTGTCCCAAAAGTGCTTTTTTTTCAAGAGGCAATTGGACTTTCTTTTTCCTTGAAGATGTTTCAATTCTCATCCAAAAAGTTTCTTCAGTTTTTCAGAAGCTTCTTGGATGAGAAGTGAAACATCTTCAAAGAAAAACAAAGAAAGTCCAGTTGCCTCTTGAAAAAAACACCTTTAGGACAACAATGACCTGGATGACTGAGAATCCCCATAGATATTTCCATTTAGTGAGTGTTCAGAATGCACTGAATGGTATCTCCATTCTCTTCTCTCTGGAACCACACTTTATGAAGCCAACTAACAGAATAACAGAGTTGGAAGGGACCTTGGAGGTCTTCTTGTCCAACCCCCTGCTCAGGCAGGAAACCCTATACCATTTCAGACAAATGGTTGTCCAATCTCTTCTTAAAAACCTCCAGTGTTAGAGCATCCACAACTTCTGGAGGCAAGTCATTCCACTGATTGTTACAACTGTCAGGAAATTTCTGTTTAGTTCTAAATTGCTGCTCTCCTTGATTAGTTTCCATCCATTGCTTCTTGCCAACAGCTTCTCTTAGGACAGTAGTACAGTATCAAGTGTGGAAAAGCTCCTCAAGAACCCAAAGCAGCAACCAACCTGGAGAAACTGGGAAAAATAGTAGAAATGAAGAATCAGAAGAATGAAAGCCAGAAGAAGAGCTGGGATGGGGAAATGAAGGAATTATTCCAAAAGTTGAGACTATGGCAGGGTAACGATTACTCATTTTTCTGTTTGTTTATGTTTTCTAGAGATATTTCCAACTTAATAATGTAAAGTATATTTATCATTAAATACTTACGGAATTTTGATCCATAAACCAAGAACTAAGAGAATGGATTTATGAAATCTATATGTCACCATAAGATTAAGGTAGTTGATGTAATGATGTTGGGCTCTAAGGATTAAAGTGATCGCACACTTTTTCCCCCTGATAGTCTCAAAATTGAATATATCAGATGTAATTATAGGAAAGATGAAGCAGGGATTTTTCTTCTGTTTAATGATGTCTCATTCTCAGAGACTGCCTGAACAAGTCCCTGCAGTTATTTTAGCAAGGTTTTTCAGAAGTGGTTTGCCATTACCTTCTTTCTAGAGCTGAGACAGCGTAACTGGCTTAAGGTCACCGAGCTGGTTTTGACCCTAAGGCAGGACTGAAACTTACAGTCTCCCAGCTTGATATCTTAACTGATAGCACAAACTAAAGAAATCCCCAGTAAATCCAGTGGCAGATATGCACCTAGCTGAACTTGGCTGATCTGGAAATGTTAAGTAGATTAGACTTGCTTAGTATTTGGATGGGAACCACCAGGAAATAGCAGTACTGTTGGCTAGACTGGGAAATCCGAAGCCAGTTTGGTCTAGTGTGAAGGCACTAAGCCAGTGGTGGCGAACCTATGGCACGGGTGCCAGAGGCGGCACTCAGAGCCCTTTCTGTGGGCATGCGCGCCATTGCCCCAGTCCTAGGCCTTCAGCTGGGTTTTATAAAACCTTTTCGCTTTAGGCCTCCGCTGCCGTGTACAAAAAAAAAAGGTTCAATCAATCAGTCAATTTCAACTTCTTGCGGGGAAAAAAAAGATCTTGCAAAATTGGAATTGATTGATTGAACTTTTTAGTCCCACCCAGTCTGCCGTTACCACTGCAGCCACGCCCACCCAATGGGCCATACCCACCCGGCACCCGACGATGCATAAGTGGGTTTTGGGTTGCAGTTTGGGCACTCGGTCTCTAAAAGGTTCGCCATCACTGCACTAAGCTAAAAACTCTGAGATTAGGAGTTTTAGTCCCACCTTAGGCTGGTGACTTTGGGCCAATCATTCTCTCTCAGCCCAACTCACCTCACAGGGTTGTCGTTGTTGGGTAAACAGAAGGAGGAAGGAGTATTAGGAACCGTTTGCCCTCTTGAGTTGTTTATGAAAAAAATAAAATAAAATGGGATCAATCAATTAAAATCTCAGTAGTTGCAGATCGCTTCGATACTGTTGCCGAGAAAGCTACAAGAATATGCCTCTAAATTGCTAGGAATCAAGCTTGACTTAAGCAATTTTTTCTCCGTATGCACGAACGGGATTATTATTGTAAACAGTTACCTTTACTCTACAGGCAATGAGAGAAGTGACCTCCAACTGTGGCTCTTAGAAAAACCAGTTTTGCAAGCTGGGTCAAATTGATTGAAACCAAACAAGTTCAATAGCAGTGGAGCTCAGGGGCAGTTTGGCCTTGCCAGCTTCCCTATCTAGGGCAGGGCAGGAAATTGTGGGAAGCAAAAAGCTGAAGAAAGGAAGAGGATGAAAGTGTGTGTGTGTGTGTGTGTGTATGTGTGTGTGTGTGTGACATCCAGAGCAAATGGACCCCAAATAAAAGTCTTGAAGACAGCAAACGTGGGGACAGTTTCAACTTTCAAGATCAGATTTAGAATGAGAAATCGTTCAGGTGCCACATCAACACAGTGGTGGACAAAGACAGCTCTTTCATCCCCATTGTTCATCTAAACTATATAGTCTATACCAGGGGTCTGCAATCTTGAACAACTTTAACACTTGTGGACTTCAGCTCCCAGAATTCCTCAGCCAGCTGGCTGAGGAATTCTGGGAGCTGAAGTCCACAAGTCTTAAAGTTGTCAAGGTTGCAGACCCCTGATCTATACTATGCATTTTATTTATTTGCATCCTTCTTTATTGTTTTTACATATCCAACAACAGCAGCACTGTAAGATGAGTTGGGCTGAGCAAGAGTGACTGGCCCAAGGTCACCCATCCGGCTTTTATGCTTAAGGCAGGATTAGAACTCCTGGTGACTTGCCCAAAATTACCCATCTGACTTCTGTGCCTAAGGCAGGACTAGAATTGATGGCCTCCCACTTTCTAGTCTGGTGCCTTAATCACTATCTAATGTAATCAAGAAAATAAAAAACAAATATTGCATTTAATTACCCAATTAAGTTAATTACTACATACACGAGTTTTATTTTATTTATTTATTATTAATATTTCTACCCCGCCCTTCTCCCTGCGGACTCAGGGCGGCTTACAGCCTTTTAAAAACAAATACATAAATACAAAAATACTAAAGTTAAAATGTTAATTAAAATGAAATATTATTAGGCCATTATTATTTTTTTAAAAATTATTATAAAACCAAGTTCTGTATTATGTGATTTGGTATGGAATCTAGCATTCCTTTGGCTCTTGATCTTCTCTTGAAAGGAAGGTGGGCTCTTTAGACCAGAAATAAAAAGAGTTTCTGGAGGAGTTTTGAATCAACAAAATAAATCCATACATAATACACACATAAATATGACAATCAGATCAATTCCAAGCAGTCATTCCCCACTGCGCATTTTGACCATGTCAAGCAGTGATGCTCGGGGTCTATTCACTCTTTCCTTGCATCATTGAGCTGTAACCCTCGAATTAAATGGGCCAGCTGACAAATGATACATTTGCTAAATGCAATGTTGAAACAAACCAACTGACCACACTTTTTATTGCTTGCGTGGTTTGAAGCAAAATGAACGTCTATGTAAATATAAGTTTATTTTTTCCATGGCATATTCTCCAGATCTGAAAATGTCACCTCTGAAACACATTTACCGAACTGAGGAGCTTCTAAGATTACCTGAACCCCGCTTGTTCAGAATTTGGGATATTACCCAGAAATTCTTCTTTATTGTCAATAGCATGCTGATAGCAAGCCCTCTGGATTTCAATTCACCAGGTATCAAATCCTGATAGGATTTGTATTATCTTGTCCCGGTATGGTTGATGGAATATTGATGGGCTTTTTGTTAGTTCTCTGGATTTGATGGGAGGCAAGGCAAAATACCTATTGTGTTGGGGGGGGGAGAGGAGAAGGAGGAGGAGGAGGAGGAGGATTTAAGTTTGATCTCTTAGCAAGAGCTCGCAAGTTAGATAAGCCAATCTGGATTGTCCTGCTTCTGCTGCTCCTTTTTATTGATAATCAGAAGGCAAGGAATAAAGCCATGGCTTTAAAATTAAATTGTAGAAGGAACTTTTACTTGCCCTCTACTAAACATTATGCAGTTTAAATATTCTCTAATGGCTCGTTTATGTACTCTTTAATATTGATTTATCATGCACGCACACTGGTCTATTTCAACAAACTCTACCTACCCTTATTTGGAATTAAGACAAGGTCTCAAACATTCTCTCTCCCTCCCTCTCCCTCACTGAAAAAATATAATTTTCATATCTCTCTCCAGCACTCCGTATCTCTCTCCGTATCATGTCTGCTCTGCTTCGGAGAGTTTTGTCCCACTCTCTTCTCAGTAGTGTACCACTGTTCGGTGCAATTCAGAATCTTCAGCCAACAGTTCCTCCTTGCTAAAACTCTTCCAATGCTGTCTGGACCAGGGCTCTTCAAACTTGGCCCTTTTATGACTTGTGGACTTCAACTCCCAGAATTCTGGCTGAGGAATTCTGGGAGTTGAAGTCCACAAGTCATAAAAGGGCCAAGTTTGAAGACCGCTGGCTGAGGAATTCTGGGAGTTGAAGTCCACAAGTCATAAAAGGGCCAGGTTTGAAGACCGCTGGCTGAGGAATTCTGGGAGTTGAAGTCCACAAGTCATAAAAGGGCCAAGTTTGAAGACTCCTGGTCTAGAATGATACACCTTTGGTTGTCAGCCATTACACCTCCAATAAAGGAGAATATTTGGAGCTCAGGGTTGAAAGGAGGGATTCCTGGTACTCTCTGAGCTTGGCTGTTCTCCTGCAGACGTTTCATTACCCAAATTAGATAATAATAATCATAATAACATCATCAGTGCTCATTACACCTCTGCCTTGCCTTCTAAAAGCCTCACCTTAAGTCCCTTTTTAAAGACTACACCTGTGCCAGTTCAGCAGCATTCTTGTCCTTCTCCTATGAAGAAATCTTCCAGTGGAAATGAAAATAGCTCCTGGTTTCTGCTTCCCAGTTAACATCTGTCTGGGTTTCTGGGTGGCTGCATGACAGCATGGCAAACATTAGCCGTCCGAGGACACATTTTTAAATGGCGGCTAATGGAAGTGTCAAGGATTAGGATCTTTCATGTAGTTACTGCTGTATTATCCTATTACAGGTGGTCCTTAACTTATGACTTGAAATTTAGGTTGCTAAGTGAGGCATATGTTAAGTCAGGGGTCCTCAACCTTGGCAACTTTAAGACTTGTGGACTGGCTGAGGAATTCTGGGAGTTGAAGTCCACAAGTCTTAAAGTTGCCAAGGTTGAGGACCCCTGTGTTAAGTAAATTTGGCCCTATTTTACGACCTTTCTTGAAACTGTTGTTAAGCGAATCACTGCAGTTCAGTTAATAACATAGTTAGGTGAATCTTGCTACCCCCATTGAGTTTGCTTGTCAGGTCGCAAAAGGTGATCACATGACCCTGGGACACCGCAACCGTCAGAAATATGAGTCAGTTGCTAAGCATCCAAATTTCCCTCATGTGATTGGAGGATGCTGCATTGGTCATAAGTGTGAAAAACAGTCACAAGTCACTTTTTTCAGTGCAGTTGTAACTTTGAATGGTCATTAAATTAACTGTTGTAAGTTTCTCACACTTACGACCATTGCAGCATCACTGTGGTCATATGATCAAAATTCAGATGCTTGGAAACCAGGCACTTATTACCATCTTTGGTGGACATGCTCTAAAGCTAAAAGATTTTGGTTAAGAATACATACATGGTTAGAGAAAATGACAAAAAAACATAAAGAGTTTAAGCCAGAATTATTTTTGTTAGGCATAATTGTAGGAAATTATGAGAAAGAGTGTATATATTTAATTTTACATATATTAACTGCAGCAAGAATTGTATTTGCTCAATATTGGAAAAATGAAGATCTACCAGTGGAGGAAGTGTTAATTAAAATTTTTTTAAGAGTGTGCAGAAATGGATAGATGGATACTGAAAATGAAAGAGAAAAAAGACTCTGTTTATTTTAGAACATGGGAAACTTTTTATCATTGGCTAGAAAAAACGAGGTAGAGAGAAAGGAACTTAATATGTATTAGTAAACTAGATACTGAAATCCAGACAATATGTTGCTGACAATATATTAAACACTTGTGATTATAAAAAAACTAATATATGTAAAAATTCAGATGCTTGGCAACTGACTCATACTTATGATGGTTTCAGTGTCCTGGGGCCACGTGATCAAACTTTTGCGACTTTCTGACAAGCAAAGTCAATGGGGAAGCCAGATTCACTTAACCACTGTGTTACTAACTTAATAAGTGCAATGATTCACTTAACAACTATGGCACAGAGGGGTCATACAACGGGGGAACACTCACTTAACAAATGTCTCACTTAGCAACAGAAATCCTGGGGTCAATTGTGGTCGTCAGCTGAGGTCTAACTGTATTATTGTCCTACAATTAGCCTTATGTCAGTGGATTTTTCATCCAATTTTCTGGACTAGCAGAAGAGATGGTTTGATTTTAATCTGGCTTTTGTCCACCATTCTTCACCCACAGTGTGGATGGCCGTGCTCCCCAATAATGCCTTAGATCCAAGTCACCAACCCATATTTATTGGCCTCAGGGATGGATCACATACTCTGTCTTGCACATTGTCCAACGAAGGTCAACCCCAGCTACTCTTAGTGGTGAGTTGTAATCCTAACTCAGCATTTTCTCTTCTGTACAATGGCAGCATTTATGCAACACACATAACTTGCTTATTATATTAACTCATGTTTAGAGTTTTCCCAATGTAATGAGCCAAGTAGTTATCAAATGGGCTGGGCTCACTCGGCATGTTAAGCCCTCCCCCCCTCCACACACACAATAACAAAATCTAACCTTAAATCAACAAAATCTAAGTGAAGTGGCTAAGTGGAGAAGATTGGAAACCTGAGCGCTTCTTAGGAACATTGTTCTCCCCTTTCACAACACTGATTCCTACAGTCTGAAATTGGACAAACTTTTGCTTTTCTGAAGATTGCTAGGTAGGGAGAAAACTTTTGTTAGATTTTAATTTTTGAAAAATATGCTTATAGAATAGGTTCATTGAGCTTCGAAGGCTCCTGTGAAGTCTTAAATGTAGGTTTGGCTTTCTTTAAATTTGAAAGACCCAGAAGAAGCAGACACCATAAACTCTTGTTATACATTATGGCTGGTCTTCCGAGCAAAGCGGAGCTCTGGAAACGTCACAATGGGAGAGATCTGATTACGTGGTAACCACATTGTGTTCTTTATATTGTCCTTCCACGCTTTTGTTTCGCTTTGTTTTTAACAGAATCCACTTACAGCATTAAGCTGTCCAGCATTGAAACCCAAAACCTGGTTTAAGGGCTACTCTGTCGCTAATTACATGTTCCTTATTGTTGGAAAGTGCAATATGTTAAATTACCATTGTGGAGATATTTGTTATGAACAGTTCCTGAATCCATCTGCTTCTCATTTTGAGAGATTATAGTTATTAGTTCTCCCAAAGGTGCTTTTTTTTTCAAAAGGCAACTGGACGTTTTTGTTTTTTTTTAAGATGTTTCGCTTCTCATTTAATCTCCATCGGGGAAGAACTGATTTCTGAAAGGCCATTTACTGGCTAATTTACTTTGTTCTCACGGTCAAGAATCTGTGGTAATCTTGGGTGGCTACTCTCTAGTAGGAGTTTCAGATGATGCCTGCTCTGGTTCATTATTTTAGTTCCTTCCTCCTTGTGCCTGATTCTTTGTGACAAGATGGACTATGCACAGTGGTGGGATTCAGCCAGTTTGCACCAGTTCGGTAGAACTGGTAGCTAATTTTTTTGTTGCCCAGGCCCAGAATGGACTTCCGGAAGCTGCATCCACACAGAGAACCGGTTGTTCACGTATTTGAATCCCACCACTGGCCATGCACAATCTGAAGCCCTCATGGTCTCAAACCTCTTGCTGTGAGGCTGGATCCCTTGGCCACCCTTGTAATTACTCATAAACGTTAGTTTCTCACTGGAACGTGGTAGGAAATGAAAAAGAAAACACTACACTGAATTGGCCAGTTTTCCTTGGACTTTTGCTATCCCAAGAAGAATGAGGAGGATGTAGGACATGTTGAGAGGGAAAGGTCCTGCTTCCAGCCTTTTTTTCTTCGGACTTCAAACCCTGCAGTCAATTCCAACCAATCTATTGTTGAAATATTATTTCTGAGGGGTCCTTGATGTTCTCTGAGCTTGGTTGTTTTCTTGCAGATGTTTCATTACCCAAACTAGGTAACATCATGCACTAATACAACTAAAAAATACCTGTAGGGATCAAATAATATTTTTCAATAATCTTGGAGGTAATTATCTTCTTTTATATAAAGAAAATGCATGTATAGGCGTGTCTGTGTGTCTTTGTGTATATGTATAATGTAGGTATGTGTATGCATATGTGCATGCATGTATGTATATTACACGTACATACACTTACAATGCACTGCAGCAATAGAAGTTTAAACGGGAGCAGAGACCTACTTTGGGCACAGGATACCTTGTTTTATGGCATGAAGTTTTCCTTTTTGCCAGAAATATTAGGAACTTCACTCACTTCTTTTATCTGCCATTTTTTACTGCATTCCATTCAGATACTGCTAAGTTCACATCTTTTCCCTGTATCCATTTCCATTATCTCTCCGGTAAAGACTGTGCCAAATGATTTAATTGCATTGACTTCCAGCTATTCTGTCGGTAATGATGTTACCTTGTTGTTGTTGTTAGTTGCAAAGTTGTGTCCGACCCATCGCGACTCCATGGACAACGTTCCTCCAGGCCTTCCTGTCCTCAACCATCTTCTGGAATCCATTTAAGCTCACGCCTACTGCTTCAGTGACTCCATCCAGCCACCTCATTCTCTGTCGTCCCCTTCTTCTATTGCCCTCAATCTTTCCCAGCATTAGGCTCTTCTCCAGTGAGTCCTTCCTTCTCGTTAGGTGGCCAAAGTTTCAACTTCAGGATCTGGCCTTCTAAAGAGCAGTTGTTGTTGTTGTTGTTGTTGTTGTTGTTGTTACCTAGTTTGGGTAATGAAACATTTTTCAAGAAAGCAACCAAGCTCAGACAGCACCATGGACCCTTCATTTCAACTCTGAGCTACAAATATTCTCCTTTCTCCATATTGCTTCTAACACCTCCCCCCCCCCCCTGTTTTCTTAGGAGAGAAGCATTATGGAGCTGTACAATCAAAATCAGAAGTTTTTGGACTTCAGTTTCTACAGCAAGATGGATGGCAGCTTAGAAACATGCTCTTTTGAATCTGCCCAGTTCCCGGGTTGGTTCATAAGTACTTCTTTTGAACCCAACAAACCTATCAGTCTGGGTCAAAAAGGAGGCCCTGACATCACACTGTTTTATTTTGAAACAAATAAGAGGAAGGAAAAAGCGGAACTTGTCATCACTAGAATTGTTTAAGGCGAATGCCTCTTTCAGATTTTGTGGGAAATGTAAGTTTGTTAGGAAGTAAAAGTTTCACTTTTATACAACTGAGGATATTTTTAGCCGACTGAGCAAAACTGGAATTTTTCAGATCATAAAGGCACTTAAACAATGCCTGCTTTTTTGATTTATTATCATCATTACTCTTTGCTAAACAATAAAAATAGAACGATATCCTGGGCTTACGTTTATTATTTGTTAGAAAACCCCTTTTGAGTGCGCCCCAACATTAAACCTTTTTGGATGTGTATGTGTGTTTGTGTGTGTGTGTGTGTGTGTGTATGTGTATAAAAGGAAGAACAAAAGGAAGAAGAAAGGAAAGAAGGAAAGAGGGAGCTGTAGTATTAACATATACAGGTAGTCCTCGACTTACGACCACAATTAAGCCTAACATTTTTGTTGCTAAGCAAAACAGGCACAGCCACACTTCTCTGTGCATTAATGATTCACCTGTGGAGCATCAAATTCCTGGGTGTGCAGCTAACAAATAGGCTGACTTGGTCGCTCAACAGTGAGAAAATGGTGAAGCGGGCACAGCAGCGCCTGCATTTTCTGCATCGCATGAGGAAAGCACATCTTCCTTCCCCTGTCCTGACTACTTTCTACAGGGGGACGATGGAGAGCATCCTGTCATACAGCATCACAGTCTGGTTTGGAAGCATCACTGCTTCAGTCAGGAAGGTGGTGCAGAGAGTGGTGAGGATGGCTGAAAAGATCATTGGCAGTTCCATCCCTCCCATCCAGGACATAGCACAGAAGCGTTGCTTGAGCATGGTCCGCAAGATTATCTGGGACACTACACATCCTCTTCACGACCTGTTTTCCTTGTTACCTTCTGGGAGGAGGAGGCTTCGTGGTATCCGTAGCAGAACATCCAGATTCAGCCGGGGAACTTCCGGTGGCAGGCGATTTCGTCGGTCGCAGCTGTTTGCTGCCTCCCGCCTGTTTTGCGTAAAAGCCGGTTTGACAGCCAGCATCAGCTGTCAAACGGCTTGATACCTTTCCCCTGGGCATAAGGGGATAGGTGAGCTGCCCGGGGTAGGAGTTGAGTTCCCGAGTCGTCCTATATGGACGATGTAGGCGAGAAC